CACTGACTACTGCCCTACTTTATTTCTGTCTCTCTGAAGCAACTTGAGGAGACGCAATTGTTTGTGGGTCCGGGTATCTGAGGGAATTAAATTTTACCTTGGGTAGGATGGAAAAATTAAGGATGAGGAAACAACGAAACATCGCATCTAAGAGTCTCATGACTCTTAAGGTAAATTGATGGGTTGCTCATGAGAAGAACTGGTGATTCGAAGTTGCATTGCTTTTAATAAACTGGTTTTTTAACTTGTTTCAAGTTGCAACGACAAGACGATTTGATTCGTTGTACAAGTTTCAACTAAAGTGATTCAAATAAGTATTATTTCAAATACAACTATGATGATGGTACTCGCACCAGGTCTTTCCCATTTAAAACATCCGAGAGGGCCTTAGGAACAAGAATATAACCTGTCGTAGTACCATCTAGAACTATTTATATATATTGGTTGAAATTTCGCTATTTTTGGCCATGTAAGACCGAAAATCTCACTATTTCTGACTCAGAAGAATACAGAATAGAAAGCATATTAATCCCGCTTCAAAATGAGCCAGATTCCGTCAGGACTGTCGCGTCTTAAAACCCCAAGTAGAATTGTTAAACCGGTTCAAGGTGGCGGTGTAGGTGCCGGATCTCAACCTTCAGCTCCTTCAGTAAAACCACGTGGATCTGTTTCTAATTCTTCTCAGGCAGGATCGTCTACAGTACAACCAAGAACTAGTCCTACGGGGGCTAAACTTGGCCAGACTTCAAGTGGAGTAACTCGACGAGGAATGCCAACCAGCGACAATGGCAAATTGAGCGCAAGCCGTGAGCGCTTGGTGAGTCCACGGGGATCTCTAACTGGAGCAGAAGTTGCTCAACCGAGACTTCCTTCAAGAGAGAATTCTCAAACAAGACTGCAGTACAGAAGAGAGAGTTCTAGTTCTAGTTTACGCGGAGTTTCATCTAGAGCTAATGGTGCTCCCGCTATAAGAAGACGTGGCGAAATTTCTCGAGCGCCTTCGGAAAGTCAAAGTCAAACTGTGCCTGTTGACCCGTCGAATTCAAATCTACTCAGCTTGTTCAAACTAGGAGATCGGGTGTTAGTAGGAAACTCGAATCCTGGCTCTATAGCTTTTATTGGACAGACAAAATTTGCCAAGGGTGATTGGGCTGGAGTAGTTCTTGACGAGTGCGTCGGCAAAAATAATGGAAGTGTTCAAGGGGTGCGTTATTTTGAATGCGATGCGGGTCATGGGATATTTACAAAGCTTGAGAAACTCACTAAAATTAACCAAATCGATGGTAGGAGAACTTCATCGAGTGATGTTAAAGTTGAGAAAAAGAAAGCTAACTTAGAAATTGGCGACCGTGTCGTTGTAAGCGGTTCGAAACATGGTGTAGTTCGGTATCTTGGAGAAACTGGATTTGCTAAGGGAGAATGGGCTGGTATTGAACTAGACGAGCCACTGGGGAAAAACGATGGTGCTGTCGCTGGAACAAGGTAAAATGTGTTCTGTTTAATGTTTGGAAATCAAAACTAAACAGGTGTGTCTTTTCTACAGATGATTAAAGACGGAGAGTTTTAAACTCGCAGAATTTTGTATAGATGTTGATATTGAATTCTATAGCACAATAAATGTTTAATACAATTGTGGTTAATTTTAGATTTAAATGATGCCTCTTGGAAACTTCTTGGTTTTCGAACGATGCATCATTAGTTCAATACATCACGTGTTTGTTACTGATGCCACGTCGGCTGAAATTACAGTTACGTTTGGCATTTCACTTTCGTGAGCAAAAATTTATCATAGTTATATGTGGAACGCGGTGACTTTATCATTTTGGAATGATGGCTTTTATATTACCGGTTGAATACTTAATTTTTGAAACATTCCCTCAGGCATTGAATTGAGTTTGAATTTAAAATTATAATTGTTTCTAAGCGCATCATTTTTACTAGAAGCTAGTTGTTTATAATTGCCCATTTATAAACTAATTCATGATTAGTAGAAAGACATTTAGAAATTTTATTTTCGTCTATATGTGCGACACATAAGGTATAGAGTACGGTATAGCATGTTGTCTGAAAATTTGGCAGAGCACCAGGAGAACATTTTTCGAAATCTTTTGGTAAATTATAAGCACATTTGGATCTCCCATAATTATATTTATCACTGACATGTGGAAAATGTTGATGAAGGGAATTACTAAGGTCATTTCAGTGTTATTTTTTAAAAGGCACAGATACAGCCTTTAAGTGTGCCAGAATCAGTGGGGGGAAAAAAACAAAACAAAAAACAGTGGTTTTTTTCTTACAATATGGTGCTGCAAATGGTAACGTGCAGCACAGTCAGACTACTTGCAGCATAGATTAGATATCATGACACAAAAAATAAAATTGGGCTGTGAATATTTCATCAGCCAGTTTTTTAATATAGTAGTAATTTTGGAGGACATTGTCTTTGTTAAAACATCAAGAACATTAATCTGATATTGAACCTGCACTCAGATGTTTGTCAAACTGTGGCTTTTGTGGTTATGTAATAGAAGTATAAATTTGGAAATAAAGGAAGGAGGTCCCTTTCCTCTTTATCATTTGAATAGTTTTAATCTGGAATGTTGCTGATTTCTTGGGTTATCTGGCATTTCTTTATAGTGCATCAAACGTAATGCAGTAAATAAGCTTAGGTGACATCTTGTCAGTGAATGAATACGTAATTTAAAAGTAAATGAGTATAGGAACCCCTTTTGATATTGAGATTTCACTCAATCATCTTTTTTTTCTTTCTTAATATATCCATCCTTTGATTACTTTCATGCAATGTTCTCTTCCAGTTAAAAAAATCCAAATACAAAAAACCATTTATTTTTAATTTATCAAATTCAACCCATCAGTTTTACAGTTTAAGTTTTTATTTTATTTTGTTTTGATCATTGGTGATTCTAGAATAATTTAAAAAAAAAAAAGAAAAGAGAAAAAAATGTTATGTCTGAACCTAAGAGTGACTAGAAATTTAGTAATTTCTTTCTACAGTATCACATCTGAATCAAACACTGAGATCATGAGAGCATAGTAGCTGATTGCTTATTCAAGAAAGCTCTTGATTGTTAAATAAATTCTCCTTATCAGTACCAAGGAAATGTATAAACAAGAGTATAGAGAACATGCATACTTTGTTATGGTGTAAAGGGTTAAGTCACAAGGAAGATACAGAGGTTGCCAAAAGGCTCTATCTCTGTCATGGATAGTAAGCACATTTTTATGGAACAAAAGCCTTTTCAATGACAAGATTCTGATCTTTCAACTCTTCTAAAGGAGAGAGTGACAACTTTTACTAGTTTCACATCTTCTCACTCTTGAACAAATATCATTCCTGAATTATGGATTTTTAAGAACTTGTCTTGAATGATGTAGTATGCTTTATTAACTCAGATAAAAATGCATGGAGAATTTAATGGCTGTTTGTTTACAGCTGATACTTTTCTGTGTCAGAGAATTAACCCTTTACAGCCTAATGTCATCATGCATATTGTCCATACTGTTCTCTATACTTTCCCTAGGTTCTAACAAGGAGAATTTGTGAAACCATTTAGAGCTTCATTAGTTGCTGAGCATTTCTTATATTCTCTTGACTTAAACATTTGATTGGGAGGATAGATTGTAAAGAGAAATTAGAACCTTGTCACACTCAGGGATTTAATCTTCAAACTTTTGTTTCCATTTAAGTCTGACACTGGTGTTCCATTTTATGCACAAAGGATTTGTTGTACTTGTGGCTAACTGCTCTTCTGTTTCCTTCAAGATATTTCCAGTGTGAGCCTAACTTTGGACTGTTTGCTCCACTACATAAAGTTGCTATTTCAAGTTTACCTCTACCACCAAGACTTCAACCGCAGCCACCTCAAGGAAATGATGTACAGAACTCCTTGGGTGCACTTGGAAGTAACAGTTCTATTAATTCAGTTTCTTCAACCCTCAGTGAATCCTCCTCTACCCCTAAGCCATCTACATTAAGTACCTCACAGGTAATAATTGAGTTTTACTGACACTAAAGGCAATAATTCATTTTGATGTGAATTGTTAAGTTGTTACATAAGAGAAAGGACAAGAAAAGAGAAGGGAACAAATGATGAACATAAAAAAAACCATCTGGAAATAAAAGATAATTTGGTTTTATCAATTAGATTGATAATGTAGATTGGCCACCCTTGAGAGTTTCTAATGCTGATGTTTCCCTCTGACAAAGGACTAATGCTTGAAATGTCAGCTTTAGAAACTGACTCTTTACAAGAGCCAATTTACATCATAAGATCAGTTCATAATACCAAATTATCTTGTAATTTCCTGAACAGATGCACCACCATAAGAGTTTCTTCAGAAACTTTGCCCTTTTATTCACCTGGAAACAAAATCTAAAAGCAATATTTAACCATTCTGGCTACCTTTTTTCAATCAACAAATTATGATACTGTTTATATTTTGTTTGCAACAGATTATTTCGAGCCCTGAACCAGAGGTGTCTGAAGTTAAATCATCACCACCCCCATCAGGGCTCACCCAGTCTCCTGCATCATCTGGTGTGGTGACATCACAATTGGTGGCTTTGCAGGTTATTAACTTTCTTATTTGTTCAATTTGCTTGTTTGATAACTGGGAGATACAGTGGTTTAATGTTTAGTGCTGTGGACTGGGAACAAAGAGGGCTTGGTTCTTAGAGGACTGCTCTTCACCTTTAAGTATAAATAGATAACAACAAACTGATGAAAACATAAACCACAACAATTTTAATCTGTTTTTGGCTCTAAAGAGATTTTCTCAATCAAGGATCAAATTGTGCCCATCACAGTTGTTAGAGCTAGTCTTATTAAAATGAAACATTCCTTTATCAATTGACAAATAACCAGTAAACCTTCAGTTGGTAACTGACAGAGACTAGCAGTATTGGGAAATATCACCATCTGCAGTTGCAGTGACCAGATTGTGAGACCATCATTAACATAAAGTATTGCTAAGTATAAAATTAATGCACTTCACATCAGGAAAAAAAAACCCATTCTGGTTAACAATGTGTGTACCATTCTTGTACAAAACAACAAACTCTTTTAATTACTTTTCTGATTTTCTGAAATGAAATCAGCACATGTTTGCTTTGAATTACCCAAGCAAGCTCCTAAGAACTGTTTTTTACTAAGTCTGTGTAATGGTTTGTATGGCCTAACCTAAAATATTTTGCACGCAAAGAAAAGTGTCACTTTTAAAGGTTAGAATTCCTAAGGTAACTTTGGTGAACCTAAGACTTTTTAATTCTTATACATGGGATAAAAACTTAACAGCATGTTGTTTTTCAGACATCTACCGTAATGAGAGATATTTCAGGTTATATTGTTAAAAAAAAGGAGGTAAGAGAAACTCTAAAAAGGTAAATAAACTTAATAGGAAAATTTTACCTACTGTTAATAATAAATGTAATAATAAACTGAGTGGTAAGAACATGTTCTTGGTGACCAGTCAAACAATAGGCTGTTAAAATCTAAATTTTAATGGTTAAAGCTTAACTAAGCTTGTGCGGAAAAAATTTACTCTCACTGAAGATCATGTGATTGGTGAAATTTGTGCCAGAAGTCTGTCTTCAACTCCAATGAGTGACCAAGACAGAATTTCTCTGTACAATACCAATACAATATTGAGCAGAGAAGTGATGAGAATAGATATCAAAGAGGGGATGATTAGTCAATCTAATGCCAAATTCTCCCAACTAGTCCTATAAGAATATTATTGCAGACAATAAAGAGAATTACTAATGAGATCATAGCAAGTGAAAGGGTTAGCATTCATATTTGGCAAAAATACATAAATTTACTTACTAGAGGGCCAACACAAACACTCATGTTGAAATTAAAATTTATTCATTTAGTAGTTACTGGTCATTTATTAATGGCTGTGATATATAAATGATAAATGCAAGATACTGTTCTTTTGAAGCAGTATCACTGAATTTAGAAATGTAAATGAAATATAAAAAATCCTTCAAATTGTTGATGTATCTTGCTGAAAAAATTATGGGCAATTTATAATGGCTAAAATGAATTTTTTTTAACAAATGGGTATTAATTGAAGATGAAAAAATTCCCTAAATGTCGATTTTTTTTTTTCATGTCTTGCTAATGCTTCCTGGACTAAATGATTGTTTATAAACCTTTTGACCACTAAAAGTGACCAGCATTTAATTTCTCCTCACAAAATCGCCACGGAATCAAACATTAAAGTCATGAGAATAAAGGAAATGATCATCAACTAAAGAAGTTCTTGATTGTTAAACAAATTCTCCCTGTCAGCATCTTATGAAACACATCAAGAACAGTATGGAGAATATGTAGACTGATATAGGGGTGAAAAGAATTAAGTGACAGTGTTAAACAAAGTGAGTGAATTTGTGACCTGAAATTGGATTTAACTAACTAATAGGAAGCACTGGAGGACAGAGAGAAGCAAATCCAGTCCCTACTGGCAGATAGAGAGTTTGAACGAGCAGAAGTTGCCAATGCTACAAGTCAAGTTACTAAGGTATTATGCTGTGGTG